TTATTGTCATACTAATTGCATTGTTATTATGTATAATGGACAATTTAACAAGCCCTGTGATAAAAATTTATCCAATTAATTCACTTTACAGAACGTTAAGTTTAACGAAGCAATTTTTTTCTTCGTCGACAGTTGAAGCTTTGCTCTAATGTTCATTTCAAATGCTAGACAAGTTGATGTTGGATGAAATCTCTAGTTATGTGATTGACCGATCGATTGCTTTAGGTTTGTTCAACTTGTGTCATGATAATAATGCTTGACAATTAGCCTTTGATTTTAATCGACTTTATAACTACAAACTAAACAGTCGAGAGTGTGATTTCTGTGGAAGTTGAAAAATTCAGTGAAAAATGGATAAGGTGAGGTTATTTGCTAGTTATTTGAGTTTCAGTTTTGTATCGTTTTGAACGAAATTCAACCAATCTGTTAAGCTTTGTGAATATGAGAATCAAATCCACTTTAGTCATCGAAGTTGACATCATTTTAACCAGTCATCAGTTTTTCAGTCTCGGTTTTCATGTGCCTAAACTCAATGAAGCGACTTTTCAAAAATAGTTGTGAACTTTCGAAGTGTAAAAATGTTTATAAGGACAAAATCATCTTTAGTCAGCAGAGTTTCAGTTAAAGCAAACATGAAAAGACCAAGTTAAACTGACTGGGATTTTTATCGAGTCTTTCCGAGTCAACGTTCATTAATTGTCTCAAGTCAAGTCTGAACAAAATGTGTAAAATGAAAAGGAAGGACTTGAGTAAGCCTTACCTGTTGTTTTTGAGGTACAAAAATTTGAGATTCCCACCAAAGTCTTTAAAAGAGTTTTCTTCAACAATTGTGATGTTATTGCCTCTAAGATCCAACTGCCTTAAACGCGTCAAATTTTGAAGCGCATAACTGGGTATTGAGTTTAAAATGTTATCACCTAATGTTAACCATTCCAATGAATCTGTGTAAAGACAAAAATTATTCAATGAAAATGGACAGTTGAGAAAGAGTTGGACAATCTTGTGTGGACAAATTATTGATGAAATTACCTTCAATTCCTTGAAATGCAAATGGATGGATTGCTGAGATGCGATTCTTTTCAAGAGCAAGTGAATTAAGTGAGCTTAAAGATTGGAAAGATTTTTCAGGTATTTCCTTGATATTATTGGAAGCTAAATTGAGTGCATCTAAACTATCAGAGGCAGAGAAACCTTTAAATGTATTAACATCTATTGAAGTTATTCTGTTTTCATGGAGCTGAAGTCTCTGGAGGTTGAAATGGAAAAGAAAGAAGCACGAAGAAGAAGAAAAAGAAGGAAAAAACAAGATTAATGGATAAAATAATAATGTTGTTGTTAGCTTTTGATTATAAGAATGATTTTCAAAGTAAATGTTATTCAAATCTGAAAAGTGTTGAATGTGAAAACTTGAAAAGCTTCAAAAATAATGGCATCAGAATGAAGTGTAAAAAAGAGATGCAAAGTAAATACAAAACGCCATTTAAAAGCGTAAACATTTTAATCGCACTTTGATTGTTTCGCTTTGATTGAAGTGACTTTAATTTTCAATTGTCAACTTATTTACTCTGCTTTTGTCTCTTCAACAATTAATCTTTTCACAAGTTAACGATTCCAATTCCTTTTCTATTCCAAACAATTAATCTTTTCACCAAAATCATTTAACTTGAAGAACTTTTCATTTTCAAATTTCCTTCTCTCCTCTGATCATCTCAATGTAAATTCAAAGTTTAATTGAGCTTTCGAGCGAACCAAAAGTTCATGCAAAATAAAGCAACGAAAAAGTTTAAATTGTTTCTCTATGAAAGCTTATAAAATAATGCAAAAAGCATAAGCTAATTCAAAACACTTAAACATATTAAAACCAGTTGAACCATTAACTCAACCTTAAAATGTTGAACAATTTAAAACTCGAAATTATATTAAAACAAAAACGGTTCAATGTTATTAAATTACGTAAATAAGTTTAGCTCATAATAAAGTAAAGTATATCTTGACGTTTTTGATCTGAAAATGGTAAACTCGAGTTATGGTGGAAAAGGCAATCAACAAGACAATTAATTCTCAACAACAGGAATTGGAATCAACTCGATTGTTCAATAATTGCAAGATGAGATTATGTGCTTTGGGTAAAGGAAGAAAAACTATTTTCGATGAAAACATTTACTGAGTTGAGGCGAGTGGGAACAAGAATAGGAAATCCTTTGGATAAAGGATTATCAATAAACTTTTATAACGCTAATAATGTTAATGATTATGATGATAATAAAGAGTTTTTGATCGCCTTTGCAATTCCCTTTGAATAATGGTTTGTGTATTTAAAGGTGTAAAAAGTGATTAGCATTTGAATTTGGGTTTGCAATGAAGAAGAATGGAATTGGGAAAAAGACAAAAGAAAATTTTTGCTCAGCTTTTTCCTTCTCTCGCCTTGATCATGAAAGGGTTTGTTGGGTGAAAGAAACAGGATAACCATTGATCTGAATCAAGCCGAGAAAATGATTAACAACTCTAACCACATCATGAATTGTGATGTTGAAAGGAAAGTTTTGATTTTGCTTTCAAGTCAAGGAATTAAGTGACACAATGTTAAGTCCCTTAAAGTTGGGAAAATAAAATGAAGGTGAAGACATTAAATCTTTTGAGATTTGGTGTGTTGCGGTTGATGAATTTAAATTTATCTTCCTTTATCTATTCAGCTCATCAACATGGGTTAAACGATTGAGTATCAACTGAAATAGAGTATTAAATTGTATCAAAAAGCCCTGTGAAAAGATGATATTGAACAATGATAACTTTGCTTCCAGAATTTTTCTTCCCTTTTTTTCTTCGTCTCTTCAATTCTCTAGACTATTAATGTTTTCGTTAAATGTGTTTTGTGTGTTGAATCCATTTTACATCTCAATCTGAATTGTCTTATTTATTATTGCTGACATTATTTTTTTTGCTTCTTCAACCAAATTTAGCCAAAAGCAATAAGGCAGCAAAGAGGAAAAACTGAGCAACATTTGCTTCTTCCAATGAATTAGATTGAAATAGTCAATGTCAGGTTCCTTTTGGCTTTTCAAGTTTTCACTTTACAGATTGAAAGCGAAGCCAACATTTTTGATGTTCATTTTTATTTCCTAACATTTTCTTGATGTTTCCATATTTACCTTAAGGGTTGTTAAATTGAAGAAACTCGATGAATCTATTGATGTTAATTGATTGGCACCAAGGTTGATTCGAGTTAAATTACCTCCAATCCCATGGAAAACGTTTGGATCAATAGTTTTTATCTTGTTACCGTAAAGTGAAAGACGGAGAAGTGATATAAGTCCACGGAATGCACCATAATGAAGCACTTGAATGTTGTTGTAATTTAAATGTAATGATACAAGAAAAGTTAACTTTTCTAACGATTTTGTTGGAACCTGATAAGAAGGAAAAATCGATAAAAATGTCAATTAAACGATTAAAGGTTTACTTGGAGACTTGCAAGTTGAACATTGAAATCGAATCAATTTATTCTTCATTTTCACCAGAAATAATCTTCCAAATATTCAATGGACACAAAAAGCTTTTCGTCAAAACTGATTGAACGAAAAACTGAAGCAAAGAAATGAATGCTTTTCCTGACGAAGCAAATTAGCTAAGCTTCTAAGTTTCATGTAAATATCATGAAAAAACCTGTCTTCTCAAAACTTGCATTTCGACTCGATAGATTTTCTGTTCAAATAAATGCAGTTTTACTTGGATCTTGATTGGAC